ACCAATATCATTACTGATCTGAAACAGGTGCTTTACTCTCCAAGCAGAAGTTGTATGGGTGGACCAAAACAAGCATTCTTTAATCATAATGTGCAGCGTAATGTTGTTTTCTTTGGATTAAGTCAACATAGATAAAAGTGTGCTATTAATAGTAATTAATGGAAAGAGCTGAAGCCAGGATGCAGAGTGCTGAAGAGGGGCCAGCTAGCCTTTAGGGGGTGGCTTTACTATCGCATGCCATCAAAATCTCTGTGTAAACTTCTTCTTGCTGTTGTTGATGGTGTGCAGTGGAACATTGCCAGTCCATTTTTAAGAGATGTGTTATCTGTTACGACCACACAGACTGCAGACACGATTCATTTGAGGCCTTCTCTGCTTCTTCATCTTGAGACAAATTCACACTTGCACAGGCTATTTTTTCAGCCAAAGCGAGCTATAGTGTAGCTATATAGAACTGCCTCTTCGTGACCTTTAAAATCAAATACCTTGAAGAGCTACACCTAGAGTGTTTTCTTCAAAAATAAGTCAAAACCCTAAGACTTCTGCAGTGTTGAGAGTGAGCAGTATAGTTTCTTTGATAGCATTTCTCCTGAGGAATTTCATCTCTTCTGAAATATTCTGCTCTGGCATCTGGCAGAGATGGAAGATGCATCATCAATGTACTGAGTATTTACATAGTCAGAAGGAATATGTGAAATTTGGTCTTCAAATGCTGCAAAACAATACAAAATAATGATTATGAATTATTCATAAAAACAGTTTTACATTTCTGTTTATGCTTTTTGTTTAATTATTTATTTATTTTTTAAAAGGGTGGAATCTAAGATTTAAACTATAGAGTTACAAAGGAATTATTATGCTTGTAAAAAAGGAAACGTAGAGCAACAGACCAACATTGTAGACTTATCCTTTTAAGAAAAATGTTGATACATAGAAGCCATAACAGTTTGGATCACTTTTGTGCATATGCTTTGAACATCTGAACATGCTAAACATCTATCCACACTAAATCTATTCAGTTTGAGTTCAGCCAGCGATCAGGAAGGAATTCCTGCTGCTTTGAGCAGGCAGAAAGCAGGCACGCTCTGGTGTGAAGAGACATGCTGGATGGGGGCTTTATTAAATAGAGTAAAATAAACAGAGGGAGCCGCTGCAACACATTTTGCCAAAGCTACAACCCACAGGAATCCTTTAGGAAAAGAATACTCACAGTGTGATGCTTTTTTAATCCAACCCCAAACCAATTCTAAGGATGTAGACTAAACAAAGTACCACTCAGTAAACCACGATATTCACATCAGGACATCACAATGCATCCCATGACAAATTGCTCTTACAGCTGAATTACAGACCAGAGGCAACTGTGTTCTACAATAAAAAACAGGCTTGTAATCATGAATAAAACAAGCGGCAGAGCCAGAAATATGAAATACTGTAGGAAGTTAGAAATATAAGACTAAAATCTCTAATTCTGAGATACAGGGTAGTCCTGTATGGCCTAGCGTACAGGGTAGTCCTGTATGGCCTACAGCTGCTTGACTGCTGCACACAGGAGAGGAGTTTTAGAAATAAAGGTTCTTCACATATGAAAGGAGCAGCCATGACTCACAATGAAAACTTTGTCAACATTTTCACCGTTTCCTAACCTTTTCTTTTTTTAAATCATACTTTATACATATAAAAACTAAATACTAAAACATGTAATATGGTGCAACAAATTACTGTACTTTTCTTAAAAAAACCTTTCTAGTTTTGGTTACCCACCTGATCAAACATAGTGCTCATAAGATGTCTTTTGCAGGCTAATTAAGTAGTTAGTTAGTAGTTAGTAATCTAATGAAGCTTTTGTTGGTGTCATTGGCGACTGTCCTTAGACTGGCAACCAGTTACACACCACAGCCTTTATTTAGGCCATATACATTGTTGTTTTAACTTAAATAACTATCAGTATCAGTATTTCTTGTATACTGCAAATTAGATTGTGAACACATAAACAAGAATAATGAATGGACAGAGGTGTGTATCAGTAAGTAGTCCGTTCACAAATGAGTCAGTCTCAACTGAGGTACTTCTTTGAGGTTATTTAGCTCTTTCCATCAGAATAGTAAGCCACTGCTCACATCTGTTCCACAGATGAGCATAATACATGACAGGACACAGTGCATGATATGGGCAGACAAATGTTTGATTGAGAAGGTTGAAAGGAACCCACACAAACCACAAAACTATAGTGTTTTCATGTTCATGGTAGTGCAAAGACAGCACTCAGACATCACAGCACAGATTTACTGACAGTGCACTGCAAAACTATTTCCACCTCTAATTACTATAGATTAGAACTATGTTGCTATATATATATATATACATACATATATAGTTATATTTCTGTGTAATATGCATACACTATCAAACTTTATCTGAGGCTTTCAGTAAAAGACGTTTCCTCTGACTTTTTTATTGTCATTGGCAAGATACAGAAAATGATCTAAACATTAAATCATTTAAGGCCTCCGCTGAAGGCCTCAAGGGCCAGGTGAACATACATGGTTTAAGCCCAGTATTTTGCTGGAGATCCCCAGGGAGTAGAAGTATTTAGGCTACATCTATAGGCTTGAGCTAAGACTGTGAAAGCATCAATTACTGTACTAAACAAAACATGTGTTTTATCATTGACTGGGAAAAGACATGATGATATAATCCCTTCACAGAACTCTACCAAAAAACAAATAGTCACTAAAAACCCATCAAAGGGCTTACAGATATTGACATAAGAACATAAACAACAATTGCTGTAATTATAATCCCTATAGCCCCTGGGCTCACTTTAAATTAGGGGTAATTTTGTGCATTTCTCTGTAGATAATTGCATTGCTTGCTGTAATTACGTTGCTACGATCATAAGTGGGATATGAAAAACATATATATAAGGCCAACAACAGATTAGACGATCCAATGTTCTTGCTAGTGACTTGTAGGTACAGCTACCGGCTTAATCTCCTTGTGCTGTAACCATGACAATAACAATTGCCTACGCAGTCCTACACAAATAGATCCTCCTCTGTTTGGAGTATACAGATTGCCCTGCAGAATCAACTATTCATTGGGAACAGCCAGCCAAGTTTTATCTTTTTGCTGCTTATCATGTTGTCTGCCTTACACTTGCTGAATAATGACTGATTATTATTAATGACATACAGTATCTGGCAAATACTGGACTGTAATTACTTTAAATCACCCTCTAACAAAAACAAAGAAAGCCAGTGCAGTCCAGACAACACTGTTGTTGTATCATTCTTGGTTGATTACAAAAAAAAAGCCATTTATTACGACAGTTATTGAACCCAGGAATCCACAGTACAACATTAAATAACTTTATAGCCCTCCAAGCCAACACAGGTGTCTCCAGTTGCTCTGGCCAATTAAACTTCTTGTCAGGTGTCTCGCCCTAAAAGGTGCAACAACACAAACAGTAGAGTCAGTGAAGCCTAGAATATACACGCAAACACGGTCCAAGAAAGACCATGTGGACTATCATGGGTGTTCAGGTGCTTAATTTCACAACCAAAACTACAGTATGGTTGACTGTATTTCAGTATAGTATCATAGTATAATAAGTAATTACTGCAAACGGATATGATTTAAGTTTTTAATTTCAAGTCCCCATCCACTCAAAAAAATGTTTTCTTCTTGTTCCTACAGTTGGATGTTTGAGCTTCATTGTGTAGAATGGTGTTTTAGACTAGAAGGATGTTTTCATAGTCATCTGCTGAAAGTGAAAAGTTCCTGTGTGCTCACTGAAAATCTGATTCTATGAGCATTATTTGTGACATTACAAATAATTTGGAAGTCAATCCTGGTCCTGGTTGCAAATTAACATAATTTGCATATTTATAGATTCTGGAATATTTATGTAGAAGTTAGAGGCAAAAAAAGGATAAATTCCACAAATTATACTTTTTTCCCCTGGATTACTGTTCCAGGCACACTATAGTGTATGTCTTAATACATGTATTGAGAATTCTCAAGCCTCTTTCAAGGCATTACTCAATTAAACAGAATCATTTTGAGGGCACTGCTGCTTATAATGTTGCAAGATTGACATCTAGTGGTTTGGTTTCAATAGTACAGGGGAAAAACTGCAATTGCCACTTCATTCGAATCTTATCTTTGTTTAAATATTGATAAAGGGATATATTTTAGCTTGCTATTCCCAGTATCACTGGCTCTGGCTGGGGAAGTTCTGTAGATGTCCCAGGCACTGACACAATATTCTAATATTTTGTAAATCCATATTAGGGAGTTAGAGTGGAAACTAATTAAGATATTGCAAGGACAAATTATGAATTTCTGTGCCAGATGTGAGAGCTGATTACTTTGTCTTAATTTCCTAAAAAGGGCAGCAGCTCAATGAGATAAAGATCTTTAATTTGACTCTAATATGAGACATCTGCTGAACACTGAGAGAAATTTGCCATGTTGGTCCTGGGAAATTTAAATCCTTTGCACTTTGTAATATGAGTTTTTAGATATAATTAGCCCAAATGGAAAATGAACTAGCTTTCACCTCTACTGTCAGTTTGCTGTTAATGTTTTCAATGTATTTATGCCAAAAAGATTTTACCAAGCTAAGTAACAGCTGATCTTTTCACACATAAACTGAATTTATTTCACTAAAATTAACCTACATTTGGAAAATATGGATCTGTCTCAGAGTAAAGCTGGGATGAAATATATTTTCCACTCTCAGATAATGTCAGTGGTTTCAGGAGCAGATGGGTCTGGACCAGAGCGGAGCTAACACAACAGATGACAGACGGTGGTCTCTGGAACCAGCCTCTCACATATGACAGCCTGACTTACTGGTCTGATCTGGTCTATCCTGTGAGATACTGTCCTCTGCCATGAACAAGGGCAGGTTATCATGATTCTGTGTCCATTTGTGTGTTTGGTGACAATTATTTTAGTTGCATAATGATAGTTATCTAAAATAGTATGGTCAAAATGATCATCAAATCTTTCCTCTTGCTAATATCTAAACATTACACAACAATTATAGGACATGCAGGGTACAAGCAATGCAGCATTAGGAGCAATTATATAGATAGATATCTGAGATATGAGCGTTTCTGTAAACAGTGATGTTGTTATTATCACTCACAATGTTGCTACTAAACCCCAATAACTCTTTAATAATATGTAAGTTTAAATTCATGACCACATTATTTCTTGGATCCATTTTGTCAAGCAATGTTTTGAGAAACAAAACACATTTTAATGAGATTAGTCCAGAGAGGTATGAGATTGAAGTAGGTTAACTAAGGCTATTAAAATGTTGGCCTACAGTAGAAAAAAAACTTAAATATGGTATCACTATAATGCACTTGCACTTTTTCTCTGAAATGGCACCAAAATAAAACTCCCAATATTACAAAACACACTGTCTGCTTTGCCTATTAAAAAAAAAAAGAAACAACTGTGATATTTTCAGGACTGTTTCATCGTTAAGTTTCCATGCAGTGACTCTGAACACACTCCACTCTCCGGTGTTACCAGCACACCTCACACGCCAGGAGGCTGACCCGCCGGAAACAACCTACTCTGCCTCCCTTTAGTGCGTGGAGCTTATTTGATTGACGTGGCGGCGCGACCAATCACACGCCCACTTCCCCCTTTTCGACAACCAACCACGTGGCCAGGATTCGTACACATAATTTACGGCGCAATCACGGTCGGTTGAGCCGGCAGAGGTCCATAGAAATTTTGACAGCTTCACAGGTGAGACACCCGTCCAGAGGCTGCTTCACTTTTACATTTCAGTTTTTTCCCGGACCACTATTCACTGTGAGCCTGGGGTTGCCACAGTCAAAAAACAGCCATTCGAAGTCAAATCATACCGGCAGCATGAGCAAAAAGAAAAAGGACTGGAAGACTGAAAAAGGTAAGGCTTGTTTTGGAGGTGGTGGTGGTGGGAGAGAGAGAGATAGAGGAGGCTATCATCATCTCTATGGCAGACAGCATGTATTGTAACCGTGCAGGAAGATTGACAGCCACTCTTGTTGTCTTCTCCGTGTTTGCTGTGATACTACTTCACCTAGCCTGTTCGGTTAAAGCCGTACGGTGGCCGTACAGATGTTAAAAATGATGTTGCGCCTCTCTTTGGCTGGCCCTAACGCATGTTTTGACATTTCCAACACTGTTCATATCTGCCTCGTCCCTGCTTATTAGCCCACGTTTAAGGTGCTCATTGATTTCCCTTACTAACCTGTTGGAGTACCTCCTAACTAGCTCATCCCACCAGTGTGATACACCAGCAGTAAGCTCACTGAGTTGCATCTTCCCCCTGCAACTAACTAACTAACTAACTAACTAACCAACCTTTTATTCCCTGTAACCAAACAGCAGTCACACGGCTGTAAAACATGCCAATTGTTTAAGATGTGGCTTATTTCAGAGCACATAAATGACCGTGTCTCTGTGCCAGTCACACAATGCAAGGTGTGTGTATGCTTGCTACCAACAAACTTATCTATTTGACTGAAGTGCTTTCAGTTTCTGTTTCCCGGATACACCTGTTGTGTAGGAACAGGCAAAGAAAAGGCGTGTTAGCTCCGTCTATATTCTATAGTGTGGTTGTTATGTCATTCAGGAGTTATTCATGGCTTTTGGACACAGCACAGCTTTTCCACTTGTCTTTGCAGGTTCAGCACAGGTGTAGTTCATCACATTAATTAGCAGCTGTCATTAATGGGGTTGATTCCACCTGTGCTCTCCCTGCTATGACATGTTAATATGGGGGTGTACAGTACTGCTTTTGGACTGTATTCCTCATTGATATCACACCGGTTGAAGTGGACTATACTGGTTCCAGCCCTGACCTGACCTCAGCAAGGGTGTGGCCTCATTTAATAACTGAAACAAGTTATTTGTTTGAAATCATTGTTGATATTGTAGCTGAATATTATAACATTTGAATGCCATTTCAGTCAGTGTCGTGAGTCAAGCCCGCTGACTCGCAAGTAATTTTCTTTTTGGGAGTGTATGGGAAATTTCTTACAATGGTTATTAAGATTCTCTGAGCAAAGGTAATAATTAATCGTAGCGCCGCTTTCTCCATTTGAGCAGGTAGCGGCAATGAATGAACATCAAAGTGAATCAGATTTCATATTCTGAGCATATACCCTTCTTGCTCAAATTGCTTTAAGAGGAGATCAAGGCAAGTCAAAATGTGAAAAGAAATCGTGAAATTTAAGGTATTTAATATAATTTTTTAAAATAGTATTTTGATGCAGGGCTAGTCTGTAGGCTGGGTCAAACTGTAATATGAGCTACCAACAGAGAAAAATAGTTGTAAGTCATAATAGCATTGGTTTGTTCTTTGGGAAAATCAGTCTTAAATTCGAATTGTCAAAAACTTGCAGAATAGGATGCAGACTATTCGGAAGTCGGAGAACTTTCTTAAACGAAATGGAAGAAAGGAAACATGAAACAGGAATATAAATAGTATTAAAAGACTACATAAAATGAGATGTTATGTGACAGGCAGTCACATCTCCTTTCGCTTTGTTATCACTAGAATTTGGTTCAGGGATGTCTCCAGTATTACAGTGACTGGCCTTCCCATCCAAGACTCATCAACTACAGAAAACTCATATGGGACTTAGCATCACTGATGCTGCGGCTCCAGTAACACAATCTTCTAGGCACTCATATTTAATAAAGCGCATTTTTGAGCCCATCCTGATCTCTTGGCGTCTAAGCTTTTGCGATTCCACAGTGACTGAAAGTTCAGCAGAGTGACGAAGCGCTTTAGTGTAGTCCAGAGAGCTTTGCTGTGTTCAATCTCACTACAGCCTTTTTATTCATCCATGTAGAATAAGAGCAGCCTTGGGAATGACAGGAGTGGGCAAGAGGGAGAGAAAATACATAAGGGATGGAACGGATATCCCCCACTGCAGAAATACCTTTTTTATTTTTTATTTTTATTTTTTTATCCTGACCTACTGTGCGGTTCTGCCAAAAGTTGACTTATGGAACCTTGTATTTCTTAGCAGAATATAGTCCGCCCTCACTGCCTTAATATTTTTGGCTTTTATTTGTGTAAGAGGCAAGTCTAATAACTCATAGCTCCTTTCAGGATATAGTACAGAGTTCCTATGCTCTAGGGTATCGTTATATGCTAAATGTTAAAGCCTATACCTCAACATTTCATTGTAAAAAGAGCCTAATATGGTAAACTGTTATCATCACCTCCAGTAACTGTAAACTGTTTTACAGTGGGGATGTTTTTAATTGACCAAAATCCACACTGTGTACAATGAGGTATTTATGTGGCGAAGATTTCACAGTGAAACACGTAATTAGGATGAAGCTTGTTTTGCAGAACAGCCCAGCGCTGTCTGGAGAAACAGTAGCAAGTTGAGGCTCTTTTGCAGTCAGTGGAGATGAACATGAGGACGCAAGCTGTGAAGACCCAAGAGTGATTCAGTAGAATAAAGGTTAGGCAGCAGCTGTGTGATGTACTAATGTCAGCCAATTATTGATGGAATCTGTTGTTGTAAAACCAAACAAACAAATAAAAAGTACTCTAGTAAGACAAAGTGAGTTTCTTCATGTACTAGTAGTTTATCACATCAAAGAAGAGGCCAAACAGTTGCTCACTGTATGATTTCAAGCAGCCCATTTAAGTCCTTTAGCACACCATTTAATAATAAAGTCACATAAGAACTAGTGCACAGGCAGAGCGGTACAGAGCTGGAGCAAACAGGACAAACAGTTCAGAGTGCAATGAAGCTTAGGCAACAGGGTGACATAGTGCGGTGATTCTCAGCTGAGAGCCACAGAGACACATGAGTATGCACATTTTCATTCCAACCCATCCTCACCGAACAGCCAGTTTCACTAATTAACACACACACACAC